GGGCATTGACTGCTTCCTCCTCCCCCCACATTTCTAACAATGTCAGGACCTCTGGCCCTGACCAGGCTGGGGCTCTCTTTTTTTTCAGTTGCAGGCACTTCAGCTGGCTCCCTGGAATGTCCCTGGGGGCCTCGTGGCTCTGCAGCTCCAGGCATGGCACCGTGACAGTGAAGCAGGGAGAGCAGTGTGGTCACAGACTAGCTCTGTGGCCAGCTTCCTGTCTGAATGCCTAGCAGAGGTGTCTGTGCCTTTGAAACATGGCTACAGACAGCAACAAGAGGTTTTCCCTAAAGAAAGACTGTCCAGCAGGGGACTTCCCCTGGAGGTCTTTCTCTGGCGACAAAAGAAAGCCCCGCGTCCAGACTACGCTTTCTGCCGACAGAACTCTGTTGACAGAAGCGTTATGCCTCGTAAAATGAGGTTTATCGGCATCGACAAAACTGACACGTTCTGTCTACTTACTGTCGACAGAACGCGACAGTAGTATGGACGCAGGTTTTGTTTTGTCTACAAAAGCCCAGTTTTGTCAACAAAACTATGTAGTCTAGACACACCCTAACAGTTTTATTAGGGCATGAGCTTTTGTGGGAAATACCAGATGAATTTAATAAAGCTAATCAAGTCAGGATAGAAAAATGGTTCATTCACAGCATTGGGTCTGGAGTTGTGAATATCCAGAGAGGGGAAATTGCTTTTGTGCTGTGTTAACCAGCTGAGATCTTTATTCAACCCTAAGTTGATAGTGTTGAATTTGCAAACGAAGTCCAGTTCAGCTTTTGGCCTTGAACACAAAGACTATGAGGCTACGTCTACATTGGCATCCCTTTCTGGAAAAGGGATGCTAATGAGACGAGTCGGAATTGCAAATCCGCGGGGGATTTAAATATCCCCCGCAGAATTTGCATTTACATGGCTGCCGCTTTTTTCTGGCTTGGGGATAAGCCGGAGAAAAGCGCCAGTCTAGACGCGATTCTCCAGAAAATAAGCCCTTTTCCGGAGGATTTCTTATTCCTACTTTCAATAAGAAATCCTCTGGAAAAGGGCTTATTTTCCGGAGAATCGCGTCTAGACTGGCGCTTTTCTCCGGCTTATCCCCAAGCCGGAAAAAAGCGGCAGCCATGTAAATGCAAATGCCGCGGGGGATATTTAAATCCCCCTTGGACTTGCAATTCCGACTCGTCTCATTAGCATCCCTTTTCCGGAAAGGGATGCCAATGTAGATGTAGCCTGAATGTCAGGCTCAGGCATCAGGAAACTATTGCAATGACCCAACCTCGATGAGAGGACAGCATAGGAAAACTGATTTTGACAGCAGCATTTTGGATGGGCAGTAGCAAGAATGTGTGGGAGCAGGAATAAACCCAAGAAGAGAATATTGCAGCAGTCATGGCTGGAGATGATATGGAGCAAGCTCTTCTGGCCCCAACCCCTGGCCCTAGCCACCCCCCTCCACCCTGGCCCTGGCCCCAGCTGCCCGCCACACAGCTCTGGCCCGGCCTTGGCCCCAGTGACCCACCACGTGTCTCCAGCCCCGGCGCCAGAGCAGCCACAGCCCGCCATGTGGCTCCTCCAGCCCCGTCTACCAGAGCAGCCGTCTGCCTCAAGCCACGCTGCTGCACAGCTCTGCTTAGGAGGTGGGCGGGGTAGAAATTTTCTCTATTCCCACACAAGCGCACACCTTAGAAGGAACTATGTCATGGGTGCTTTCATCTTATTTCCCACAGCGCACCCTGCTTGCTCCCTGCTTCCTTAAGGCAGTCTGCAGTGTGGGGGTTATCCCTGTCCCTTGTTAAAGACATAGAAGAGGAGATAAATCCTGCTTGAGCAAAGTCAAGTCACAATCTGTTCCTAAGTACAGTATATCTGAGATTAAACTGTCTCAGAGGGGTAGCTGTGTTAGTCTATAACCATAAAACCAGTGAGTAGTCCCTTAGTACCTTGGAGACTAACAAAAATATATGTATAGTATCATGAGATTTGGTGGGCAAACCCACTTCCTCCCCCCTCCCACCATCATCTAAGGAAGTGGGTTTTGCCCACAAAAGCCCATGATGCTATATATCTTTATCATCTATATAGTTTGTTAATATCTAAGGTGCCACAGGACAACTTTTTTTTTTTGCTTGGTTATTTGTTTTTGTGTTTTTAGATTAAGCTGGTTCATGTACAACTCTCACCCTTTCTATGGCCTTCACTTTGGGACTTATATATGGGTACGTCTAGACTACAGGCTTTTGTCGACAGAAGTTTTGTCAACAGATACTGCCGACAAAACTTCTGTCGACAAAGAGCGTCTACACTACATTCAGTTCTGTCGACAAAGCAAGCTGCTACGTCGACATGGTAGTGTAGACGCAAAGGACAGTTTATATGCAATAACACCTTCTGTCGACAGAAAGTCTGTCGACAGAAGGCGTTATGCCTCGTAAAATGAGGTTTACCAACGTCGACAAAACTGCTGAGTTCTGTCGACGTTATGTCGACAGAACTCAGTGGTAGTATAGACGCAGGTGTAGTTTTGTCGACAAAAGTCCACTTTTGTAGACAAAACTCTGTAGTCTAGACACACCCTATGAGATACTATCTATTCTTTATTAGTTGATGAGCTTTCGTGGGCCAGACCCACTTCCTCATCTAATAAACCATCTTGTTAGTCTTTAAAGTGCTACATTGTCCTGCATTTTGCTTCAGCTACCCCAGACTAACACGGCTACATTTCTATCACTATCTATTCTTTGCATCTCTAGGCTCATGAATAATGGAATACCACTTTTTCTTCCAATAAACTGTCTTCAAATCCCAAATCGCCATATCCAATGACACCACAATCTCAGACTGTAAGCCAGTAGTTCTTCCCTCAGCTTTGAGCAGCCTCCCTCTTATTTGAGGATACAGTGGCAAAATGAGGACAGGTGCATGCATGGAATTGAGTGGGAGGCCGCAACTGTTATGAAACTTTAATACAAGGAAGGGGTGCTACTGCCCATCATCCATACTCTTTTGTACTGGGCATTTAACTGGTTCCAGGAACAAAAAGAGATTCCACATGCCCCCATTCCAGGTTAAATGCTGGGAGCTTGGGAATATGGCCCATCAGCAGCCCCCTCACTCCCAGCTGGCCAATAAATGCCAGAGACTCCCAGGAGGGGAGCTACCTCCACTTTACTGACAGACAGTATTTTCAAACAATGTATTTATAAAAACAGGAAGGTCCCTACAAGTAGGTGCATTCCAGAGCCCCTCCTAGTTAATTAAATGTGTTTTGTAAGTTATTAATACAGTATAGCTATCTTAGCCTCACTTCCATCCTCACAACCCTATGTGGCTATTAGAGATCTTATGGTACTTTTTATGGGAATTGAGCAAGGTTTCTTTGCCAAAACTTCTCTTCCTCCTGTTGTGAGGCTTGCTAATTGTCTCCAAGAACTGGGTACTAATTAAGGAAAATGTAAAATATTTTTTGTTCTTTTAGTTAGTGTGTGTTTCCATAGGGATATACTGTAAATTAGCATATAGAACCCGTGGGTTATACATGTTTTTACAACCCCCCCCCCCACCCCCCGTGGGGTATACATGTCTGCAGGGTATACACATTTATTTTTACTCACGGGACCTGGGGGCTCTCCATTCGGAGGAGGGTGGGTTGTGCCTGGCTGCAGCTGTGCGGGGCCTGGGCCCCCTTCCCACAGGCAGGCCAGCTTGCCTGCGCTGCACTCTGTTCCCCGCCCGGAGGAGGGTGGGTTGTGCCTGGCTGCAGCTGTGCGGGGCCTAGGTGTGAGTGTGGCTCCCCTCCCGCAGGCCGGCGCTGCGCTCTCTGCTCCCCCTTCCAGAGGAGAGTGGGTGGGTTGTGCCTGGCTGCAGCTGCACGGGGCCTGGGCGTGAGTGCAGTGAATGCGGTGAGTGGATGAACGCAGGACCCATGGGCTATACACGTTTGTGGGTAATCTAAGGGGTTTTTTTACACACACAAAAAAAACCTCACGGGTTACACACGGGTGCGTGTTATACATGGGTGTGGGTTAAACTATGGTACTTAATAAATTATCCTTTAGAATGAAAGAGTCTCTATGAATTAATTTTATTGTCTCAACATTACTGCTGGAATGATGCTATTCTCAAACACAGAGTATGGCAAAATAACTTAGCAGAAAGGAAGAACGATGAATGATTCAGGCGCTTGAGCAGCACCCAGGCAATGCAGGTTCTCTGATCTACCAGATGTGGCCTGATTGATATTAAGCGAGTTCCTCAGTTTCTCCTTGCCTACTTCACCATGTATAAAAAGGAGATAATATCTACCTTATTGGGGGTTAGTGAGGCTAAATGTACTAACTATTGTGAGGTTTTACCGTAATGGAGCCATAAATACAATGGTTACATTGTAGATTGCAATCAGTCACTGTATTTCATTTTTGGTTAATACAGACCAAACTACTGAAATATGAGTTTCCAGTATCACTTAGAAGAGTATTTCCTCTAGCCAGCGTTGCTTCAAGAATTTACCTTTATTTTGTTTGTCTTGTGATTCTGTGAGGAACTGAGAGATGCGGTCAGAAGGAATAGCAAAGGAAATCCCAGCAGTAACCTTCAAAGTGTTTATTCCAATCACTTCACCATCCTGGAAAAGTAGAACAAGGACTTACTGGGGAAGCTAGTCTTTCCTATTATCATTGTTTTCATGTTTTTTTGGAAAGGTACCTAAAATATGGTAGAAGTGAAGTGTATGATAAATAATGATAAAATTATTCTTCACTTTGAATCAAGCTGTTTTTCTTTATTTGTCTTTACTTGTCTTCTAGCGACCCATTTCAGACCCTAATGCATAAGTTCTATATGAAAATAATATTCACTTGATCATTTTCCACACCAAAAATGGGCATTTGTACACACATCAAATATTGCATATACATTTAGAAGTACAATTACTAGATTTGCATTAGCAAAGGGAAAGTCACCTCTAATAATTTAGCCATTAATGATTTTTCTTGAAGACTTGTCACTTTTGTTATTTAAGATTTGTGTATGTGTATGTATATGTGTGTGTGTATATGTGACGGCATGTTGGGGTTCCCCCAATCCTGTAGCCCCGTAGCAACAAGAACAGATTCCACCAACCAGTAGAATAAAGGGGGTTTATTGCTCCTCCAGGATACAGCACAGCATAGATGTGATGTGGTTATAGGAGTCAGGGCCAGGATGCCTTAGACCCCTTGGGTTAGGGGGTCCATCACCCCCTCTCAATCCTCAGCACCCAGCTTAGTCTGTTCCCTTCATGTTTTCTCCCCAGAAACTGCCTCACTCCCAGACCCTGCCCCCAGCCAGGTGGCTGTCTCCACCTCCCTTCCTTTGTCTCTCCCTCTGGGAAGAGATGTTATCTGCTCAAGCTGGGACTAGACATCTGGGCCAATACACATGTGGGTGAGTCAGTGTGAATCACACATCACAACGCAAAGGAACCGGATTACAGAGCAGACAGCACTCCCACTACGTCACAGTATAATATACTGGACATTCCATCTTAACTGAGAACACAAGAGGTACTGTTCAAAGTCTTTCAAGCCAGTTCTGTAAATGAAAAAAATAATCTGTACTTACCAAATTAACTAGAGGTCCTCCTGAGTTTCCATACTGTAAATATAATGGCAGAATATGTTAAATTGTTATTTTGTGGCAGGAAAGGAAAATTGCATTTCAGATCATGTTATTAATGAGCACCTGAGAGTGAGCCTAAGTACTATGCTGAATGAAGGACACAATCCCAACCATAAATAACTGAAAATCAAAGTACTTGATCCTGCACAAGAATCCAAGTGGATGAAGCCTTATGATTATATTGGCTTCTTTGAAGGATCAAATTCTAAACTTAGTTTAACATTAGGAAAATGTTAAAGAAAGTCTCTAAAATGTAAAAACTTTTTTTATTCTCCTAGGTATTGTTACAAAAAAGTTGGAAAACATTTAATCCGCATTTAGCAAATTATATTTCAGCCCAACGTTAATAACCAGTATTTTTTAATAAAACCTAGACCTATCAATCAGCACATTGGGTTGTGATACTGTAAGCTACTTTCTCCAAGGATCACAAAGAACCTGTCCAACATTAATTAAGCCTCACTGCATGTAGAATAGTGGTAGAAATGTAGCCAAGTTAGTCTGGTGCTACACAGTCCTGTTTTTTGGCTATTCAGCTAGCTCTGGGGAAAAATGTGGCAGCTGTTTAACTAAGCTGTTTTGATTGCAGAAAAATCCCCAAAAGCAGACTGCTGCAGGTAATGGAAGTTGTAGAGGTCACTTGTCTGTCCACTTAACTCAAAAACAAATTGTGTAGCCAAGTCAACTTTTTTTCGGTCAAGCTACCAGTCAAAATAAACAAGAAATGGATGGGTCATAGCAATACAAGACATCTAAGAGCTTGCCTATTGATTGCACTGAGCAAAGTGCTGTTTATTCTCCGAAAAATAAAACATAAAATCTACTTTGATTTTAATTAAATTTCAGGATACATCTTTTTCAAGTGAACATTTGTAACAGGTTTAAATTATTTCTTAGGATGGAAAACTGAGCCATGAAAGCAGCTTTTTCAGATACAATACTCCTAATTACACAAAAACTTTCACAATAAAGGAGAACCAGAATCATCTTTCACTTGCTGTCCTGTGCTAGAATAATTTGGTAGTAAAAGACCCATGCGTTCATGTATAGTATAGTTCAGTTTATTAGAGTATTGCCCATTACTCCTTTTGCCTCTCTTGCCCTCTCACAAAATAGCCACACATTTCTGCTGATGTTTCTGAACGGAGTGGGTAGCTGACTCTTCCTTTTCTGAGGAGGAATGAGTGAGTTAAGCTTACTGTTTCTCCAGGCCTTAGGCCATCTTCATATTGCACATTCTCTGCTGGAAGAACAACTCAAAATGTCACTTTTTTTCTAACAACTGGCACTTTCTGACAGGCTACATCTACATTGGCCCCTTTTCCGGAAGGGGCATGCTAATTCCTACTTTGAAGTGAGGAATAAGAGATCCTCCGGAAAAGGGCTTTTTTTCGGAGGATCGGGCTGGATTGGGGCCAGTGTAGACGCTCTTTTCCGGCTTTTCTAAAAGCCGGAAAAAAGCGGCGGACATTTTTATTTAAATGCCGCGGGGGATATTTAAATCCCCCGCGGATTTCCCTATCGCGATCTCTGAAATTAACATGCCCCTTCCGGAAAAGGGGCCAGTGTAGACGTAGCCTAAATGAATGGGAATTAGGCTGCTAAATTTCCCCTTCAACGTCTCATACATCTGTTTCCAAGTGTATAAACCAGATGCCTTGATACAACTACCTCACAAATGTGTTTTGGAAAATAAATATTTACAAAGGGCTTTACACATGTGAAAGGCTAAATGCTATTAATTTACTCTGCTGAGTGCATTATCTGAATTTAGTGAATACATATTTCTGAGAATATTTTTGTTTTATTTAAAGTTTTGGCAGACTTCAGCTATCACCTCCCCTTAAACTCATTAATAGTTGCTGTGGGAGAAAAATCAAATAACTCCAATTATGTCTAAAGGGGGGGGGGGGGGGGGC